TTCTTTTTAATATATGATTTGTTTTAGTGTTTGTTTAAAGAGGAAGAAGGTGGAAGGGCCTGTATAAGAAGTGTATTGGGAGGCATTGCCGTTAATAACAAAAATCTAATCTGGTTTTGCTTTCATCTTCATTTGTACTATAAGTTAGTTGTTTTGTGAGATAGAACCAGCTTTTGATTTGAGTGTGTCATTTTTTATCCAAAGCTTGCAGCGTGTAGTGTAAGATTTAAATACTAAATGAGTATAGGCCAGCTTGAGACGGTTATAATATGATGATTGATGGTTGTTAGATGTGATGGAGATGGCTTAATGGCTACTAGCCTACTAGGAAGACTCACTTGTCCTTGTCTTCCATGGACTTAAATGTGAGAAACTTTTATTTTAGTTTAAACTTCAGCATCCATAACTGAAAAGATTTTTGGTTAAATTTTTTAGTTTTATTTTTCTAATTTTTTTTTTATGGGTAACACCGTTTTTTATATAAGTTGTCAATTTATAATTGGTTACAATGAATTCACCGTAACATTAAAAAATTATGTAAGTCGTCTATTTATAGACGGTAGAAATTGGATTCACCATCATGATTGAAAAAGACCGTAACAATAACTTGTAAATTTACAAATCCTTGAAAATATTTGGTTTTAAAAAAACTCATAACACAATAGTTTTGCATTAAATGTCCGCCTAGTGGTGATTGGAAGATGTTATTTTCTTGTTAGTTTTAGATGATCGTAATTTTCTCATACGAACTCTGTTTTCGATGTTTTTTTATATCCACGCGTTCGTAATTTCGTCGGCTATAAATTTCATTTAGATTACTTTTGCTAAAAAGTAACATATTTCCACTTTGAATTTTATAAACAAACATTTATACTTTATTATATTTAAAAGTGAAAATAGGGTGTTACATTACTCGCTTGGATACTTTGAGATATTTAAGTAAGACTTAAACTCACGTTCTTTGGTTGTTGTTTATGCTTTCTAAAACCAAAAATATACATACATCCTCTAGTTTTTTCTCTCTAAGTGTTAGAAGGAAAAAGCTCACTTCATCCTTTTCTCCGAAGGCAAAATCGGATTTTGTTTTCAAGCTTAAGAGATTGAAGTTTCTACAAGAGTGGAACTAGGATACTAATAGGTGTTGGAGCTTATGGTGGATACTTTTAGAGTAGCTCTTGTTTGAGTTCTTGCCATCTACAACAACATGTCAAAATATCCAAAGGCTTCAAAGGTTGTAATCCTTCAATCTTTCTACAATTGTTTATTTTATCTTTGCAAATATCATGTAAAGTGATCATTGGTGGAATAAATTTTAAGCTTTCGTTGTCATTTTACAAGTTTTTGATACCTAAACTTGAACAAATTCCCAACAATTAATGCTATAGTACTAGAGATAAATACTATTATGTTATAAACCTAAACCAATGGGACCAAAGTTGTCAAACGTGTGTCTATTTGCATGAAAACGAGCTTCAACCCCAAGAGGGGAATCCAAGCCTTTTTACCTTATATCTCATATGTATAATAAGCCTTAGACTCCTCCTAGAATCTAAGAACCCGAGTAACGCAAGGAAAAAAGGAGGAACATTGATGGAGTTCAAGAGCAGAATACACGAGTCATTAAAAAAAGAATCAGTGAGATTAAGGACTAGGTTTTCAAATTATCCCTAGCCTATTCCATAGATCATAAGTTCAACTACATTTCTGGAGATTTGGGAGGAAGAGGTGGAGAAAATCGTCGAAGAGACGACTAGAGAACGACATATCCATTACATATTACTAAGACCGGATAATTCTTCGAATGAGAGGTTCTACCCTACAACGGTTGGACTCAGACAAGAGCTGCGAAATAGGGCTAGACCTAACCTTTTGAAATTATTTAGTCCTTGTAATATCTAACTTAACGTATTCGTTTAGTAGTTAATTAAAGATAACTAGAACTCCTAAAAGCACAAAGCAAGCAGCATTCGAGCATCGAGTAACCAAAACCAGGCACATCCTAAACATGCCATCATATCACTAACTAATCAGTACTAGCATGCATTTCAATAAGCTCATACAACAGACATACAAGGCATCCTTCCTGGATCCTTAGCCCTAATCTAGCATGTAGTTCTCATACACATACAACAGGCATACAAGGCATCCTTCCTAGATCCTTAGCCCTAATCTAGCATGCAGTTCTCATAATCATATCATATCATAACAAACATGTATGGGTCATTTGGGAGAACTTACCCGAGCTCGGCTGATTGCATGCACCACACCCTTTTTCTCTTTTCAAAATCCTTTTTATAAAAATGGTTTTCTTTTGAAATTTTTTTATACCAAGTCATCAGTTTGAGTTCAGACACACCCGGGAGTGTGCCCGAATCCCTCAAACCAAGGCTCTAATACCAACTTGAAACACCCATAAAATACGGTCCAAAAATTTCATTTTTAATTATTAGATAAAACCATAGTTATCAAAACATCCGTCAAAAACATAAGTCATAGTATCACAAAACATCATGATCAGAGTATCCGTATCAAAACATATGTCAATATATCAGAGTAAACATCCCAGGCTAAAACATCGTGGTGTGTGCAATGCAATCATCCCGGACTCTTCCCTTTGCTACCGGAAGTACCAGAAACCAAAACTAAAAACTGTAAGCATGAAGCTTAGTGAGTCTCCCCAAACTACCACATACCATACACATAATCACATAATCACATATTGACATATAAACATATCGTGGGCCCCGCCCGGCATCGGACAATGTCCGGCATCGGGCCCCACCCAGCATCGAGCAAAGCTCAGTATACATATAACATATCAACATATACACATAGGATAATCACATAACATAAACATATAAACATTCCTCGGGCCCCGCTCGACATCGGACCGAAATCCGGAAAGCATATAAACATAGACACATACAAGAATCACGAAGACATCAAGCATACAAACATTCCTTGGGCTTTTCCCTACATCGAACCGTAGTCCGGAAAGCATATAATCATTCCTCGGGCACCGCCCGACATCAGATCCGGAACATATAATCATACATACGGGCCGACATTGGTGCCTTCGACCCGTTCCTACAGGAGGAAAACTCACCTCGAATGTCGGATGAAAGCTGAAACGTCTCTGTCCCGAAATCGACTTTACTCAATCCCTGAACCAAGTGATCAATCCATCAAAATCCCGAAATACCCAAAATGCCCTCAGAAGTCAAAGTTGGTCAAACATGGTCAAAGTCAAAGTCAAGGTCAACAATCCATGTTGACCCAAATCGTCGAGTTCCTTCAGTCTTCATAAAACCGAGAAAACCCTAGCCAACTCGCCGAGTCATCTCAACAACTCACCGAGTTTGCTCAGTAATCAGAAAGGTCGGGGGACCACGCTCCAACTGGCCGAGTTGGATAAGCAACTCGTCGAGTTTTCCTAGTCTTAATTCATTCAGTCACTTTCAAGCGCGTCTAATGCCTGCTAACCATAGATCTGGTCCCCTAGAGCTGAGATACCACATAAAGTTGCTAACTTTATGTCCATGCATGATATCAAGAGGCTAAAACACTAAAACTAAGCTTCATAAGAGACCTAGGGCATGGAGGAGGGCCAAGACTTGATAAAGTTGGCAACTTTAAGTTTCAAAAGGCCATGAAATGTCTAGATATGAAGTCATAACTTCAAGACATGATCAAATCCAAGAATGACTCCAAAATAAGCTACTAAAGGCCATAAACTTCTCAATGAAGAGATCTATCAAATA